CAAGTTTCACTTTTTAAATGGAATTACTGAAATCAATCTACTTTTTCATGATATTCTAATTTTATGACCAGCACCTGTATGTTTGCCTGAAGAGTGCTGTTTTCCACTCACCTTTAAAAATGGTTCTTTGGATCCCTCCCTTTTTAGAATTTACAGACTTATGTCAAAGCTTCGTTTTCTGATAAAGAGAATATTGTGGTCAAGCAGTAAACTGCTGCTTTTGAAGAGCACAACATTTTAGGCAGGTTTTCGTGAACTGGAGAAATCTACCTCTGCATTTAACCCATCCCCTTGGGGAGCAGTGGCTGCCATTGTGCGGCGCCCAGGGAGCAGTGTGGGAGTGTAGGGTCTCACTCAGAGACCCAGAGTTTAGGCTTTGGGGATCAAACTAGGTACTTGCAACCTTCTCAGAGTGCAACCGCACTGCCCTGACCACCAGGCCACCACTCCCCATATCAAATGATATTTTGTTGCAGGGTGCTGTAACTAATTTTTCTGTGCTGCTTGTGTTAGAGCTGGCTTTAGCTTCTTATACCATTGGTCATACCGAATATTCATACACAGTGTAGTTTGCATGGCATTCAATTGCACTGGTTCCTGTATTAGTGCCAGTAATAACTTATTAGTTCCCCATTGTTTATTTTACTTGAACTGCAGAGAATAATTAATAAACAAAGTTGTGAAATTCTTAGTTTACAGTATATTTAAGATGCAGTTATTTTAGTAGGGCCTATACTTCTTTACTTCAATTCTCTAAGAATCACAAGACTATAGAAAATAATATATATTGTGAGGAAAATGTTCCACATAACCACGGATCACTTGTTGTTCACTAACATTTACTGTGTTATAGAAATTCCAGATGTTGCCGCTTAGTTTCATTTGAATCCTCTGAAAACCTCCAACCTATAGCTGCACAGGTCCTCAGAGCCTTTTGATTGAATCCTGATGGGCGTTCCTGTCCAAACTATTTCAAAATCTCACCCCAAGGTTTGGTGAAAAGTTGGCAACCCTGTAAATGATAACGAGCACCTCTTCTGGTTCTGCGCTCTGCGTCTTTACGCATGCCTGTCCCTTTAAGAAATCTGTGAATGGAGCGTGAACTTGAGCTTTCCTCGCTGACGTAAAGGGTTACAGAGGTTGATGTTCCCTCAGAAAGAGGCAAATCGCAATGAGGAGCGCGCAGGGGGAACCAGATCCTTTTTATATAATCACCTTTTTTTTCCTTTGTTCTTATTTCTAAGGACTTACTATAAGTTTTAGGCTGTAATAGCTTTAATCTGTTTATACATAACGGTTTCCTTTACATCTCCGCCCATTCTGAGCGTCCTTTTTTCTTTAGTTTTTGCCTCTTTTGTTTCGTATGTTCTGAAGAGTCTGCTATATCAAAGTCCTGCAGTTGGATCACAATGATTTTTGTGGATTGTTATTAGCGACAGTAGTGAGCGCCTGTCTGCTCACAGTTTCGGTTTTAGGTGAAAATGCTTCATGATGAGGAGGAGCAGGCGGTGACTCCAAGCTGTGCGCAGCACGGGACAGCGCTCTGCAGCAGTGGCCCCTCCAGTCTGGACAGCAGCTCAATGGGGCCCCTGCCACCTGCTTACCCTAAAGCGGAGTTCAAGAGAAATTCAGTGACTGATGACTATAAGATCACATCTCAGGTGCTTGGTCTGGGAATCAATGGAAAAGTGCTGGAGTGTTACTGTAAGACCACAGGGGAAAAATGCGCCCTCAAGGTTTGAATACCATTTAAGTTAATCTGTACATTTAAAACACCAATCTGTGAGTCCTGCTTTAGAAATCTTCTTTTTTCTTATTCAGTTTGACCTTAACTGAATTTATTTTTATTTCATATATGTTTTAAATATTTATTACTTTTTTATTAATGAAGCAGTAGTCTGAAATCTAATCTAATAGAGGGCTGCTTAGACAATTATATACTGTCTGGGTACCTGTCTGTTTCCTTTCCTCTCTATTTTTGCTGCCTGGACAATGATGTGCTTTGTAATGAAATTACATAATAGTCTGAATGACTAAGAAAAGTTGTAATTTTCCTCTCATCTGCTCCACAATAAGTGTTCAGGAATGATTTCACATAAAAAAAAAACAGATGGGTACAAGGTTGCAGCAGAGCTTTCTAAAAAGTAAACAGGAAGAGTGGCTCCAGTGATTGCTTCCATGTGTTTTCTTAGAAAAGTCCATGACCAAGCAGGTATGATGAAATGTTGGAAGTTACACGCACTTTAATAGCTGCTAGTAAATGTGTGTTATTTTAGTAACCTAGGATTTGGTCAAAGAATGATCGATCCAGGCGTGGACAGATAACACTAGGTTATGTGTTTGAATCCACCATAACTAATCAACATTGAAGCTTAAAAGCAGATGCAATATTAAAACATTTTCTTTCTTTCTTTCTTTCTTTTTTTCTTTCTTTCAGGTTAAACTTTGTTAGATTGTGTTTTTCTCACAATAAACCTAAAGTCCCCATCTAGTTACGATATTAATGCATCAAAAGAAACTAAAACAAGTATACAGTGTTTCAAGAAGCATACAATTGTTATGTAAAGATGCCTTACCAATTTATTGGGATTTTTATATTTAAAAATATACATAACACCAGTGAGGCTGACATGACCTGCATTCAGAAATATTGGGTCACGTTATTTTTTTTTAGCTGATTGTTTTTTGCAGTCAGACATAACAAGCAGGTCTATTTCAACAAACCTGTGACAGCTCTGTCTCTGACCACAGTAAACACATAATTATCTTTCAGACAGGCTGTGATCCTGATGGAAGGCAATGCCTCATATCAGGAAACACGTTTTGCTCCAGCCCTGCCAGAGGGATAAAGTCCTTCACACTAAAATAGAGCTGCCTATTGTAAATTATTCCATGTTGTCCAAAACTAAATGACCCAAAAGCAATAAACTATGGACATATCAATAAGATATCATAACTGTAAATGATTTACAAACAAATGATCTGGATACCAAAATTCATACTCTGTGTGACACTAGATAAGTACCATAGCTCATATTGTCTTTGTCTGCTCTATGGTCAAGGTTTTAAAGCCAATGTAGCTACAGTAGTATTCGCTTGCACCTACTTTGTAGAAAGGAAAAATCTTTATGATGAAATAGTAAAGTAAAAAAATAAAAAAATTAACCTGCTTGACTGATAAGACTTTCTTTTATTTTGAATTTCGATTACAAAATGAATACTTAAATATATATTTTTTTTAAATAACACCTCTTTTTTTTATTCTTTGGTCAAAGTCTCATTGTAAACGCAGTAAGCTTTAGCTTACACTAGCTACTTAAAAGGATGAAAGGTTATTTAAAATAAACAATCTACTTCTTTTGTGAGATAAAGTTATCAACAGAACCCACTCACATTAACATTAGTGCACAGCACCGTTTATAATCTCAGTAGTTCTAAATTCATCCTGTGAGAGAGTTTCAGTGAAGTCATATCAATCTGTTTTGTTTATTTCAAAATAGGATCTGTCCTTCATGTCTCCTCTCTAACCCAAACTGGGTCACATTGTTTGTTTAAAACAAAAAAAAAACAATTTCCCCCAATATAAACCCATCAGCAATGACCCCAAAAAAGGGGTCATGCTGAGGTCATCTATTACTTTTTAAAGATATTTTGTGTTAATTTGTGCTTTTTTTTAGAGAAGCTGAGCATTTCTCACAGCTATTCCTCCTCCAGGATTCAAATTGGTCTTATAATTTTCTCAATGATCAAAGCCCAGATCTGAGGAAAGTGTGATTTTTTTTTTTTTTTTCAGCTTCAGTACTCTGCCTAATAGAGAGATCACGTTACTGAATACAGTCACTCATAGTTACAGTGCTGATGCATTTTATATAGAATCGCTGCTTTGGATGAAGATAAATTAACAGTAACACTAAACTTGAAACATTTACTTGTTTTGGGTTTTACCAGATTCTCTATGACACTCCTAAAGCCAGACGAGAGGTTGAACTACACTGGCGAGTTTCAGGAGGCCCCCACATTGTGAGAATCCTGAGTCTGTATGAGAACATGCACCAGGGGAAGAAATGTCTTCTCATTGTGATGGAGTGGTAAGTGTTATCAACACTTTAACACATTCGACATGAGAAGCTCATCTAACCACTTGGGGCCAAGCAGATAATAAAAACCGTGAAGATTTTGAAAACAGTAGGAAGTGTCCCAATCTTTCCATTGCAGAAAATATGCCCCTAAAATGTGATTAAAATAGAGGGAGTTAACCCTAAAGATAATTAACTTAAGTTTTTCAATAGAAATACATCAAAGCTTGAATGTTTCGGGACTATTTACCAAAAGATTTGATACAGATTAATAAAGTTTTATAAAACCCTAATTTGAAGCCAACAAAGCTGGTCAAATTAAGTTAGATAGAAATGAAAAGCAAAGTATAGTTGCTAAAACAGACAGTGAGATGGTTTATAGAAAGAAAGCAGCAGGATAAGCTGATCAGGAAGGCCAGCTCTTTGATTGGATGCCCTCTGGACTCAGTGCAGATGTGGGAAACATAATGATCCTAACTAAATTTACATCTCAGTTGGATAATGTCTCCCACCCTATGCATGAAGCTGCTGCTGATCTGGAGAGCTCCTTCAGTGACAGACTGCTGCACCTTAAATGCACCAGGGAGCGTTATCACAGAGCCTTCCTCCCAGCAGCCGTTAGACTCTATAACCACCACCGTTCCCAAAAACCTCAATAAGTTATTACATTCATGCTGATTTTGCACAGTTTCTATCTTAGTCTGTTAAATAACATGCTGCTCTCATTTTGTACATCTCTGATGTTGCTGCTTTTTTCACATAACCATTACTGTAATAATGCCCACAGCTGTATATTAGTTATTTATTGTCCAGGTGCACAGTATTTTTATTGTTAAAACACTTTTATAACAACTATTCACTATTATGTTATTTTTGTATAATCTTCTAAGGTCCACATTTGTCTGACCATTTTTTCTATACCGGTAATCTTTTTGCTGCTGTAAACACCAGAATTTCCTCATTGTGGGACGATAAAGGATTTTATATTCTAGAAGGCTGAGCATGTGGAATATAATAATTAGCTTGTTATAAGGATTCCATTTAAATAAAGTTAACTTCTAAGATATCAAACATTAACATTGCCAGCTCTTTGTATCTATTTGTACGCCAGGAAAACATTTTTTTTTTATATATATAAACCATGTTAAATATGTATCATGGTTTACTTTTGCTCCCCAAAGTGAGTTGCTATACACACTGAATCATGAGACACAATGGTTAGCTTTGTTCTAATAGCTTTGGAGCACGGTCCAATAGATGTTTGCCAAGCATGTGTTCTCTGTCCCAGTTCTCATCTCTTTGTCCACCTTGTCTCAGCATGGAGGGAGGGGAGCTGTTCAGCCGCATCCAGGCCAGAGGGGACCAGGCCTTCACCGAGAGAGGTGCGTCCAATGTTCTACTCAGTTCATATAATGTAAGGTTTGCCCTTTGTGGTTTTACATGCAATGTGTTCCTCAGAGGTGTCGGAGATCATGCATGACATTGGCACAGCCATAGAGTACCTCCACCATGTGGACATTGCTCATAGAGATGTGAAGGTAGCGCTGCTTTCAGACTGACTCCTCCTTGAGAACATCAGAGAAGATTTACATTTGATTAAGCTTTTTTTCTTACTATTTCAGCCTGAAAACCTGCTGTACACAACAAAAGACAGCAACGCTACGTTAAAGCTGACTGACTTTGGCTTCGCAAAGGAGACTAAACTGCATAACTCCCTCCAGACCCCATGTTACACCCCGTATTATGTTGGTGAGAGCATTCACCACTTCTGCTAGCTACTACAGTATTAGTCATTTAATGACCAATTGATGTCATCAACCATTATGTTGTTTTTCTTGCACATTATTGATTCGTTTGATAATTGCTTCTTTCCATGCAGCCCCGGAAGTGCTGGGGCCAGAGAAATATGACAAGTCATGTGACATGTGGTCTCTGGGAGTCATCATGTACATCTTGTGAGTAACACAGATATCTCCAAATCATTCAGCTTCATTTTTTAGGTAGATATGCTATATAAACTTTTTTTTTTAAGTTTTTTCCTTTCCTTTGTTTTCTTCAGTTTCTTTTATTCCTTTCATTTTCCTTTAGTTTTCTTTTTTTTTATAATTTTTTTTGCTAAATTCTCAATTCTTTTCTTGTATCTTTTAACTTGTTCCCACTTTTTATGTTATCGTTTTTTTGTTCTTTTTGCTGTTAGCTTAAATCTGTTTTATGCATGTTAATCATTGATCTAGTTTTTGAATGAGGGGAGTTTTACTTCTTTTAATTTTTTTAAATATTTTTTTTTCTCATCTATTGAATTTTTCTCTATGTTTTGCAGGCTCTGTGGATTTCCCCCCTTCTACTCCAACACAGGTCAGGCCATCTCTCCAGGTATGAAACAGAGGATCAGACTGGGCCAGTATAATTTTCCAAACCCTGAGTGGGCCGACGTTTCTGAGGAAGGTCAGCATTTTCACCATTTTTCATATTATTATACTATTTATACTATTGTATAAAGCGATCAGACTTGTTTTCAGATATCTCATGAATGAACATGGCAGCAACACATGCAGTTTTAATTTATTAAGCATTTATTTTGGATTTCATGAACTTAAACTGGATGAGTTATTTAATCTGCACAAAGCTTCAAAGGTTTACCATCAGAAGACTTCTGCAACTTTAGACAAGGTGTTATTTTAACTTTGGCAACTTAAATAAACTATGTATCTATTGTTATCATTAGACAACATTGATTGATTTATTTGTTTTTTGTTTATTTTTACTAATTAAATTAATACTAAACTAATTAAACTAATTAAATTGTTTTGTTGGTCGATCCATAGATGTAAACTTAAAGAATAAACTATTTTAGATTAGCTCTGTTAACTTGTGTTATTAGATATGTTATTCAATCAATTAAATTCATAAGGAATGTCAGAGATAAGAAGCCAGAGATTTGCTGATTTATATTAAAGTGTAGTTAATTGGAAATATAAAGATATCTTGCTACTATTTAATTCTTTTGCACCGCACAGAAGCTTTTAAAACAGATTGTATACTTAGGGAATGCTTTCTCTGGATTTTAAAGGAAATAAATCTGGAATAACTAGAATTAATTTGGATCTGCTGGGTTGCTAACTTGCAGCCAAACAGCTGATTGTTCGGTTACTGAAGACGGAGCCCAGTGAGAGGATGACCATCAGTCAGTTTATGAAGCATCCCTGGATCAGTGTGAGTTGAAGTTTTACAATCACTCTGTAGATAAACTGTTGCAGTTTGCTGCTCCCCTTGTAATATTTATGCTTTGACCCAGCAGCAGTCGATGGTGGTCCCTCAAACACCTTTACACACCTCTCGGGTTTTGACAGAAGATATGGAGCTTTGGGATGATGTGAAGGTGATATTAAGTCCTATGTGCCCTATGTTGTTTGTTTGTTTTTAGAATGTTGCCACAAGGTGGCAGACATGTACCAAATTACATTCACAGCTCACACTGTTCCTACAGGAGGGAATGACCAGTGCCCTGGCCACCATGCGCGTGGACTACGACCAGGTAAAGATCAAGGACTTGGACACGTCCAACAACCCTTTGCTAAACAAGAGACGCAACAGGCCGACACCTAGAGCGACAGGCGACGCAGAGGGTGAGGACAGGGGAAGCAGCGAGGGAGGCGTGGTGTGAAACAGTCAGATGGAGATGACGTTTACTGAAGAGCTTGAGGAGAGACTGATTACTGGATAAAACTGGTGTAAAAGGAAGCTCTAAGTAATACTCCATCGACATATCATACTCTCTGTGTTTTCTTTGTGTTGCATTTATCATCAATAAAAAAGAAACATTTATATTTTAACAATTTTAGCTGTAATGCACTGAAATAAATTTTGTTTAACACATTTTGGAGCACTTTTTAGATCTGCACACACATTTAACATCTCTATTCACAAGGCTCTGTATAGATCGAGTATAGGTACGATATTTACCCAAAAAACTAGTAATGGGTTATATCCTTCTTTATCTTTGATTTCTGATATTGTCATGCTGAATGAAAAACTCTGCTTCTATTTTAAGTTTCTGTAACCCATTGGTTAATATTACATGGGTGAGTTGTTCTCATACCTATTATAGATTATTGTTCTCTGTTTTTGTAATAGCACTTGCTTCAGCCTTTTCTAACATTCGTAAGTCAAATTTAAGTAATAATAGCTGGTATGATTAATTAATCATATAGGGTCAATATTCATTTCAATTCAGTTTATTTATATAGCGCCAATTCACAACACATGTCATCTCAAGGCACTTTACAGAGAGAAATCAACCAGACCCTACAGTCAAACTGATTCAAAGTTTTCTATCTAAAGAAAACCAATTGATTATATCGACTCATTGACCCTCTGCAATCACTCACACCAAGCATACTTGTAGCGACAGTGGAGATGAAAAACTCCCTTTTAACAGGAAGAAACCTCCACTAGAACCAGGCTCGTTGTGAGCGGCCATTTGCACAAGCCGACTGGGGTTCAAGGAGACAGAAGCAGACATAGAAAAAGATATCTATCAATCAATTCTTATAGCTTCAACATTCAAATCAGAGATTAAAAAAAAGTTGAATCAGGACACCCCTAGTGTACATATTTATTATCTTTAATCATTTGCATAAACTCCAACCGGGCATTTTGGAGGTTAGGGTACATCTCAGTGGGAGTACACCCCAAGATGGAGATTGAAAGATGGATACTGCTATGTCTTGAATCCCTTGGAATGAAAAGCTGATGCTTGGGAGGAGGATGTCTTGGTTCCCCTGTTGGATCTGATGCCTCTTTG